GGATATTGCCACCAATTAAGCACAACCCTTTCCTCCGCGTTGGCGCGCTTTCCCCCAACTTTGCCTGCATCCCGTCCCTTTGCTGTCCCGTTCCCCTGTCAGATGGTCATTCGTCCTCCTGCACTCTGAGCTGTCAAATCTCGCCTGCTGTGCCGACGGACAAATTCAGCACCACAGCTCTCTCTCTCTATCCCGCATCGGGTCTCTTGAGGCTTCAGGGTCCAGCTGAAAAGGAACAGGCGCAGGTTGCAGGAACAGGGGCATTCGGCTTCGAGGCAATCACTTCCGTTTGGCGACGGCTGCACATCCCGCCTCCCTCACGACTCTCACTCAGGGAGATCTTTCATTGGTATTCTTCAAGCTCAAGGACGGACAGCCACTCAAGAACAAGCATCCGAAGGCTCGAGGGAACGCCAGACGCAGTCCGAACTCGTTCATTCCCATCTGCTTTCTCCTCTTCTTCCGCCCCCAAACCAACCCGGGCCCTTGATCTGCTTGCTGCCCGCCTATGCTTCCACGCTTCTTCGTGCGAATACCCACACACACGCACACAGACACCCGACAACCCCTTCTCCCCCGGCTGATCGCGTGTCACGAGAGCGACAGACATTGGAGACGGAGAGAATAAAAGGCGGATCGAGCGTGGGAGTTACCGCTGGCGCCGCCCTACCGAAGCAATTGAATTGCTGAATTTCCCCATTATTACCCTGCTGCCCCCAGTCGCCAAAATCCACAGTTCCACACTTGCGCACCTCTCACCTACAACTACGTACTCGGTAGTACCCAAGGCAGGCAGTCCAGCCCAACCTCTGTACCAAAGGCACCTTAGGTTCCCTACGGATACCTCACCGTAATAATTAGGTACAACAGAGTCACAGACCGCACCTCAGTATTTGTACCCGCAATACGGTGCGGTAAGGTACCGATTACTCTCACCTCACCGGCACATCCACCCAAAAACCCGCTCTGAAATCGGTCACTGGTTGGTATGGGTACCTTGCCCACCCGCTACTAGACTACCTCCGAAATTCACATCTGTCCGGCTGACCATCAAGTACCTCCCTCACCTTGTAGCGCTTGCCCAAAGATTCCCTTTTTCGTCGCCCTGGTCACCTCTTGCTCCCCGTCCTCACTGCGTCTCCGTTAGGTCTGCCTCTCCGCAGTGGTGCACCTGAGGTACGAAGTCCACACATCCATAGGAGACGACTCATCCCATTTTACAATAACCACCCCATCGCCGCCGTCATTTCTCCCGTTCTCCGTCTTCTATCCTCTCCCTCGCGACTCAAAAAGCTCCCAACAAGGAAACAACTTTCATGCGTCGGGCTAGTCATGCCGTGACCTGGATCGCGACTTCGACTCACCACCAAGTCTCGTCTCTCCCTCGACACAGAGCTGGACGCTATTGAACCGGTACCGTACAAGTAAACACACATACACAACTACACACTCACCTACGAATACAACATCCGCACCAGTGGAGCATTTCTGATTCACCCAAGAAACGGACGACTCTACGCCACCAAACCAAATTACCAGATCACAACCTTTGCGCGAATCTTTACATTTCGACATTCTCCCCAGGGCGGATTTCCGACGAATCGATTGCTAGGTAAATTCCAATTCGGCTTCACTCTTTGGCATACCTCGCTGTGGAATTCACCATACCCCAAGAATTTCCCACGACCGAGGTATCCCCAAGACCAAGGCACAAAGAGGCGCTCGCCCTGAGAGAGAGCAATTGCGCTAATAAGCCATCCAACAGCTTTTGCGTCATCCCTCCTGCACGCACGCTGCAACTGCGCATCGCTCACTCCCTGCCGGCAAGCCCCCCCAAGACATCCATCCCACCACCGGTGTCGATGCTCCTTGCCTGGGTCTCAACCCCCAGCTGCCTCCTTCTTTCTCAAGAGTCTTAATCATGTTCGCCTCCGACTCTTTCCTGCCATCGGCCTTTACCGACCACGATCCCAATATGCCGCCCTCTGCCGTCATCTCTCCGCTGTCACTCAATCGAATGGCGAGCTCCTGTTATTTCGACAATAGATCGACGACGACGACGAGCGCCACGGGCAACTCCATTTACTCTCCCCAATCATCCGGCGCTGTGCGCTATCCGCCGCAAACGCAAAGCCTTCTTTCACCCCATTTACACCCCAACGGCGTCAACGGCACAAACGGCTACAGAGAGACGATTTCGAACGACCAAGTACCACGAGTCGTCTCGCCGAGTCATTTCGAACAACTGAACGGCCACAACCCCTCTGCGTTTTCGTCGACGACCAGAGTCTCTCCGAACGGAATGCCTCACCCACGATCAGTATCTGCCGATGCAGCCTCGGCTCCTCCGTCAGCACAGATTATTAGACGCCTCGCTCAGCAGAATGCGCGGATTCGGGAGGCCTGGGAAGCCGAGCGCAAGTACATGGAAGCCAACCGCGAACGTGTCGAGGAAGTATACAAGGAGGAGCGGATGATTATGGAAGACGAACGTCTTGCATGGGAAGCCGAAAAGAACGACTTGACGGAGCAGATCCGCCGCCTCAAAGAGCAAGTTGCAGCGATCGACAATGACAAGATTCGGCTGCAAGGTGCGTTGCAAAGAGCCGAGCTAGAGAAGGCGGGCAAAGTCGCCGGCGTCACTGTTGCAATTCCAGGAACAGGAACGCGAGGTGGGGCCGACGGCTCCACTGAACTTTCTTTCCCAGGATTCTCCTCGCAACCCAATGACGCGCGGTTCGGCCTCTCGAACGGCACTGCACAGCGGAGGCCGACTAATGGCTCTTCTTCAGCCTCTGTCTCGCCAGCCCATATCCGATCTCACTTTATTAGTCCTGGTAGTTCCCGGATTTCTCCTTCCAGGCAACCAGAGTCTTCGCCATTCATCCCACTCAACCCCAACATGCAGCCCACTACCGCAGATCCCGTCGACTTCCTCGGCTCTCCCAAGGACGAGGAGCCTGTCCCCATTGTCGACATTCAAATTATCAACCCTCAGCTTGAGGGTGTCCCCCTCAAGGCACCCGCCATTCAAAAGAGCACATTCATCGACTCCGGCATGACTCCCCCGGAAAACTCAAAGAACTCTTCCAGAGCCGTCTCTCCGCCTGGAGAGTCTGGCAAGTCTAGGCGAAGCCCTACTCAGGAACACACCCTCGAGGTGCTCGCCGCTCCCGAGCCTGCTAGACTCGTCATGCACGCTGGCCACACGCCCAGCCATTCCCTCTCCGTTCTGGGAACAGCTCCTGGCACAGAAGTTGCGACAGTCGCTGATGGTAGTGGAGGCTCTACACCGACTTTGGCACCGACAGACATGAGCTCGAACCCGGCAACGCTGTATGATGTCAGGGCTAGAGCAGACTCATCCGATCTTCAGGATGACGCTTATCGCGGTACCGATGAGCCCCTCCCCACCTTGGAGGCGGCAGACGACGTTGCCCTGAAGGGCCCCTTGATGGTTCGCAACATCCCTGCTCATGACGAAATCTTCTTCAAGCGTTTGTCCGAAAAACTTGAAGACGTAAGCAGCGGCGCCGACGCCGTTCCCACTTGCATGAAGGCGCCAACTCCGGAACTCGTCGAAGAGCCTTTGGAGGCGAAAGAGAATCTCTACGTAGCGAAGGCGGACACAGATGCCGCCAGCGACAAGGGTTCGACCAGCGACAGAGCTTCTTCCTCGGATAGAGACGACGTCTCCGAGTCGCAGAGCAAGCTCGAGGAAATTGACATTCCCCTCAAGCTCAAGCAGAGCACCAACTTTGGAGCTCCGTTGGGCGCTATGTTCTAAACGTCGCAGAACCAAGTCAACACTGCTCTTTTTCTCAGGAGCCAGTTCTCCTCATCACTACAGCCGAAACCCGCGCATAGACTTTTCATAATTTCCGATCCCATTCAGCACATACGATCCGCCTCTGTGTACAAAGTTGTGGACCTTCTACACTCACTTGGCTTTGGCTTTTCACTATAGACCAGCCCCCTTCACCTCTTTTCCTATGTATATTCCCACACGGTGGGCGGCTTGCTTTTCAATTCCCCGGCGATAGACAGGATGACTGGAAGGGTTCCCTCAGTGTTCCACGGAGCAGCATCACTCGATTTTTCTCATGGCACGGATTTCACGGTGTTTACACAAAAATGCACAATACCCCCCGGAGGATTGGAATTCCTTCTCACGAATTGGCTTGGTTTTTTTTTTTTTCAATGGATACGGTGTCAATGGAGGCGCAGACGCCTAGGTAGGGGTGGAAGTGGCAGCAAGGACGAATCGACGCGACAGACGTCGTGGAAGGGAGGCATATGGAACTTTGTTCCTAGGCTGATCCATCAGCACATTGGCAATGCAACAACTAGATAGACGGCCGGTGCGTGATGTCTGGAGGTTGGTTGCAAGAAGCGATGTACAGGCATAGCCGAACAAGAATAAACATTGCTACCACGGTCATTGACCGTTATTTGTCAACGCATACATTGTTCACATTCTCATGCCTGTGATTGCAAGCTGGTGTGATCAAATCGTCATAAGGAGTGAGTTCGTGTGTAAGAAGCCAACTGATTCAATCTTGGATGTCAAAATAATGGTATTAAAATTGATGTTGGTGTAGCTCATAATATGCATGTTTCCCCCCTCTTATCCCTTCCCCTTTCCCCGTTCTCTATAGCTGCAGGCCAGCAATTCCCCTTTCGGAGTTAAGCCTTGCTGATGAACCTGCTACTGAAACTCGTCTGGTCGTCTTCTACATCGACAGCCCCGTGTCCTCTCTCCCTTCGAGCCCTTTCCCTGTCCTTGACGAAGACTACTTCGAGACTGACAAAGCTATTCTTTCGACGTCGTTTGCATGGCCTCAAGGTCTCGTGGGGAATCGGGCTATCGGTGGCTGGTGTCACGCAGCCAGAGAAGGGAGGGAGGGGAACGTTGTCCGAGGTAAATCATTACCATGCCTCCTCTGTTACCCTGTCTCTCTCTCTCTCTTCTTTTTTTCCGTGTCTCGCGCTTTTTCTCTTCAAATCCTCGCGATCAAATCATCCAAAAGCTCGCCCGTCTCCCCGGGACTCGCGATCCACGCAGTGGTACCCACGCTCCGGGCCTTGAAGTCGTTGCTGCCGGCGCTGAGGAACTGGTCGCCAATGTGCAGCGTCTTCTCGCCGGCGATGGGGGTCTCTGGGTGTCCCGCCTTGGCGGCGAACCAGCGCTGGCAGACGGTCACGCCCCACGACTTGTCGCCAATGTCGACGAAGACGTCGCGGCCGCCGTTGAAAGCGCAGAAGGGGACGCGGCGGCGGACAGCAGTTGGTTCGGTGGAAGAGGCAGGGGCAGAGGGCGCGATTGTGCTGTGGCCGGCTGCTTGGGCGGGTGATCCCAGCGCGGAGAGCTCGAGGATTTTCTGGACGACGAGGACGGTTTCCTCGAGGGACTCGCGCGGGATGCGGACGGCCGGGTCGGTTGCGACGATGCCGACGGCGCGGTCTTTGCGGAGGAGGGTGGCGGGGAGGTTGAGGGTGCGGATGCACTCGAGCAGGGCGCCCTCGGCGACGTCGAGGAGCGCGGAGATGTCGGCGTCGGACCAGGATGCCATCTCGGGCGTGAGCCACTGCTCCTGCGGGACGGGGGCCAGGAGGTGCGGGGAGGACGGGTCGTATTCGAAGAGGTAGTTTGCTTCGCCGCCCATGATGACGATGGAGGCCTTTTGGATCGGGGATAGGTCGGGCGCGGCGGCGATGGCGTCGAGGAGGCCGTGGAGGCGGTCGTAGTAGCGGTCTGCTGTTGTGTAGCCTGCTGCTGTGACGATGCCGATTTTGATGTCGCGGCGGAGTAGGGAGAGGAGGCGGGGGATGAGGGGGGAGGTGGGAAGGAGGGATTCGCCGTCGTCGTAGAGGGTTACGTCTCCGTCAAAGGTTGCGAGTTGGAGGGAGGTGACGGTGGTGGTGGTGGATGGGTTTGGACTGGGGCTGGGACTGGTGACGGCGAGGATTTGGGCGGCGTTGAGGATGAGGCGGACGTCGTTGAAGGAGGGGGAGACGTAGCGGCGGGAGGAGATGAGGCGTTTTGCGTCCATGAGGGTGAAGGCTGCTTCGAGGGGGAGGCGGGTGAAGAAGGGCCCTGCTGAGGGGACGAGCATTTTCAGTTTTGAGGGGAGGTCTTCGTCTTGACGGGTTACTGTGGGTGTGTTAACTTTGACAACTCGATTCAAAGGGGAGAGAAGTGAATGAGCTAAAGTCAGCGAGATGAGACTGGAGGAAGCTTACTGTGGTCGTCTATCATGTGCTCGACGTCGCGAAAGATTTCGGCGTAGCGGCGGTGGGATTCCTCTGCCATGCGGGCTATGCTCGTCGCTCTCGTGTCGAAGACGCCGGTGGGCTGGGAGTAGAGGACAAAGGGGACTGCCAGGAGACCTTTAATCCATTCTGGAGGTGAGGGTTAGCTAGTTGCCAGCTAAGAGACAGCTTGATCGTGAGGCTTTGGACATTGCGGTGATCGCAAGGTGGCTGACGATGATAAGCTGGGGAGACAATAGGACAGCGACTTCGCTGCTGGCTAGATTCTTGACGATCTTCTCTCCTCCAGCTGTCACTTGAGTAAGAGAGCCGTTGTAGCTCAGCTTCGAGGTGAGTCTCTAGACACTTGTCATGAGACTCGATGAGCTTGGCGGATGCTGCCGTACCTATGAACTGGTCTCGTCTGTGGGTCTTGAGAGCATCTGTACAAGCGTTAGTTGGTGAGGTTATCTCAATGGAGAGTTGGAATTTTGGTTTGCTTACACTCTACTCTGTATCTTGTCGTCATGATGGGCTACCTTCCGAATCGAGGTCAAGGTTGAGTGAGAGTGAGGTTGAAGATGGCGGGGTGGGGAGGGGTAACGGCTCTTGGAGGGGTACCCGATTCGTGTCGCTATCTTCCTGTCTGGTATCAAATCTATGAGATTACGCGACTCCCAATGACGAAGTGAAGCTTTACAAGTTGTGTATGAGGAAGAAGGTTGAAGCAGTATCGAGGAGCAGAAGGAGAAAGGTTGTAAGAAGGAATGTAGTCAGAGCCTCCGTGGTGCGTAACGAAGTGATGTTGAATTCCACCGCCCCATGGAGCTCGTCGGGTCCACTTTTCCCCAACTGAGGAGTCTAAGGTGCAGGGCCCCGTGTGGTCGGGTGGTCCAGATTCGGGGGAGAGCTGCACCTGTCGCAGGCGGAATGCACCAGTGCCAGGGGTGCGCTGCAACGCTAACATCTACCGGAGGCCGCCGCTACCCGGCTGGCTCAGTTGTAGATGTTCAGGGTTCACTGGGTTCACTGGGAGAGATTGGGGAAACGCAAGCTGCTATGACCCCGCTTTGGAGGTGCATTCGTACCTCCCCGTTTGTGTTTGTGACTCTTGTGGTCGTTGTTTACCTAATAGTTAGATTTGGAGTATCAGAGCATGGAGTCTGGACGAGAGACTGTGAGATTGATAGCGTGCTTCGCCGGCTTCATTTACCTCGCTCTGGCTTTCTCTAATGGGGGCATCCACACAATGAGTAGTGAGTCACTGATAGACTGGCGAGGCCTTGTGCGTATGCCGTACGGATAGTGTAAGCTTCGTTGCTTCAACCATCAAAGTCGCCAAGAGCTTGTCAGAATATACCTGCTCTCACTACTGTAGTCACAAGTGCTCAGTTCTTGCTATAGGTAAACTATGATAATCTCTTGGGCGCTGAAGATCAAATTGCAAAGTCAAAATTGGGCACCAAAAAAAGAAGGGATGAGACACAGTGCCCCATTATCACCTCAAGTAAGATCAACATCAACTTCGACAATCACCACTGTTGTTTGGATGAAAGCACAAGTCCAGATTAACACATATCCCTCGCCTCTCCATCTTCATGTGGCATCATGAGGTGGACTTTGCACAACATCGATGGCAGACCACCTTCAACTAAAGATCATCTGAAGTACTCGGCTCATCTGGCGCCTTCCAAGACCAACAAATTAATCAAACTAGGGATGCCTCTCAAAAGGAAAACTGTGACCTGAATGGAAGCTCCGAGCGAGATGTTAGAGCGGCAGAGACTGCTGGGTTCTTATGCGCGCGGAGTCCCACTTTTTGTCATCATCTGAGTAGGATCGATAGCTCAGTGGTAGAGCGAGAGATTGCAGTTCCACGCAGTTATCTCTAGGCCCCGCGTTCGAACCGCGGTCGGTCCTTTCCTTTTGCCAAAAAAAAACGAATATCTAATTCCTTTTTATCTTGACATGCGCAGGAATGATTGATTAATCTCTTTTACGCTCAGCGGGCCAGGAATCCAAGCTAGTTGGTGTGATTGTTGGGTTTCGTCGAGCCAGGACGAGTAAAGTTCATCCACCCTAATTAATCCTGGTTTGGCACGCATCACCAGCACACATCCGGACACACTTATGTTGGTATAAGCCTTTCACCTGGCGAAACCCTTCGTCGTTTACAAAACGGCAGCGACATCTTTTCACAGCGAATTCTGTCATGTTCACACAAGTATTATACCAAAACCTCATTAACAGCCTACAACTCAGTCTGAGTCGTGTTCATGAAGCCTATGTGTGAGCCCGGAATACTAGGCAGTGGATGGAACGCTCATTCACCCTCGCAATATGCCTGAGACGATATCGGAATAGGGACTGGAATCGCCCTAACGCCGAGTAAAAAGCTTCGAAAGATGCTGAGTTAATTCCATGATGTGTCGTTCTACGCCCCAACAAGCCGAAAGTGTCTTCAAGGTTTACCGGGATACGAGATACGCAAGACGATTGAATTCGAGGCTTCTTTCGGAGACCAACCCAATCACAAGTGACCACTTGTGTCGTTTTCTGACATGAATGGGACCGAAGAAGAGACGAACGTCGTCAATGAGAAGACGGGCCAATCTTTTCGGCCCCGGAGCTCATAGAACGGCCGCCCGAAAGCACGTTCCGCAACGGAGTAGTCCGCTCCTGCATGGAGCTGGCGGAGTTCGGGCACCGCAATTTTGGTCAAAGTCTGGGGGAGGAGAATCACGGCCGGGCGATCAACGTTATCGAGTTTGAATTTGGGAAATCTTGAATCAGTGCAGCGGGTTTACGGTTACATGGAGCTAATGACCTTGTGTGTTCTGTGACGAATAAGAGGGGTTCGCTTGGTAATTGGGACGGAATCAGGGATGCGGGCGAGTGAAAGCCGATGAAACGGCTTCGAGGAGACGTGAAAAGGGTGTGTGTAGTGATATCACATTTGAATGGAAGCGCAAAAGAGTAAAGGGTTCTTTTTTATAAAGAGCCTGCTTGATCGATCTCGGGACGCTACTGGACATCAACTACTGACACCCAAGCCCCTCTTCAGATCAAGGAAACGATATGTTGCAATCCTTCAGCCTCGACGAGGCCCGGTGGTCTTTGATGCTGATTATGCCAATCGCGGCGCTCTCTACTGTAAGCCAGACCTTTCTATCCTGTTATGAATCCCCATAAGCACATTCAGACGGACCGAATACTCACCCCTCACACAGCTCCTCGCATACTTCATAGGATACGCCATCTACCAGCTCTACCTCAACCCCCTGCGGAAATTCCCCGGCCCAAAATTATGGTCAATCTCCTCCGTCCCCTACGTCCGCGAATTCATCGCCGGCACCTGTCACCTCACGATCCTCCAACTCCATCAAAAGTACGGCCCCATCGTCCGGGTAGGCCCCAACCACCTCTCCATCAACCACCCGGACGGCATGGCAGAGATCCGAGGCCACCGCAAGAGCTTCACCGGCGAGAACGGCAAAGACCCCGTCAACGCCCTGCCGAACCGCGACAACATCATCGGCGCCGACCGCGGGGACCACAGCCGCTTCCGCAGGGCGTTGGCGCACGGGTTCTCGGCGCAGTCTATGCTCGCGCAGCAGCCTATTATCAAGGGGTACGTCGATACCCTCTTTGAGAAGCTGCGGAAGGCATCGCGAGGTGGCGAGCAGACGGTGGATGTGGAGAAGTGGTTCAACTTTACCACGTTTGACGTTATTGGCGACTTGGCGTTTGGAGAACCCTTTGGGTGTCTTGAGGATAGCACGTATCACCCTTGGGTCGACCTCATCTTTAAGAGTATCAAGAACATGGCCATGTTGACGAGTTTCCGGCGTCTGCCGTGGCTGAAGCCGCTTCTCATGTTGACGCTTCCTAGGGAGCTAATGGGTAAGTATGCTCAGAACCGGGAGCTGTCGAGGGAGAAGTTGCGGAAGAGGCTGGAGCTTGGGAAGAGCCGGCCTGATTTCGTGGATGCAATGATCAGGAAGTCAGAATCAGCAGGACAGGTGAGTGCCGCCACTTTAGTCAGAATATCCCAGAAGAGGTCGATCTTCTGCCAGGTGCTGTAAGCCGGTTGCCAACATATCAATCCAGGCCATGTCGTTCGAAGAGATGACCTCCAATGCCATGGTCCTCATCATCGCCGGGTCGGAAACGACAGCCACGCTGCTGACTGCGGCAACGTACTTCCTCGCAACCAACCCACACGTGTTAGCCAAACTCAACGACGAGGTTCGATCGGCATTCACGACGGAGGATGAGATCGATATGCTCAGCGTGCAAAACCTGCCGTACCTCCTGGCCGTCTTGGACGAGAGCTTGCGGATGTTCCCGCCGGTACCTGGTCCCAGCCCGCGAGCCATTGGCGAAGGGGGCGATACGATTCTCGGCGAATTTATTCCGCAAGGTGTAAGTTACTTCCCCGCGGTGTCTTATTCATGGTGTTATGGGGGGCTATGTGCGCGCTGACTTTGAGAATCGTGCGTTCTAGACTGTAGTGGATACCTGGCATTGGTCAGTCTACCATAACCCCGACCACTTCGCAATGCCGGAGGAGTTCATCCCGGAGCGATTCTTAGGAGACCCGCGGTTTGCAAATGATGCCAAGCAGGCTCTGCAACCGTTCTCCATCGGCCCTCGCAACTGCATTGGGAAGAAGTGAGCAGCCCTCAAGACGTTCTCCATGGCTCAGACGACGGAGTCGGCACCGTTGGGATCCCCGCTGACAGGTAATCATCTAGTCTTGCCTATGCCGAGATGAGGTTGATTCTCGCGAGACTAATCTGGAACTTCGATATCCGCTCAGCAGCGGAGACAGCGAACTGGTACGCTGAGACAAAGGTCTACATTCTATGGGAGAAGGGCGGCTTGGATGTCCATCTGACACCCCGGGTTTTGAAAGGCTGAATGAGAGGTGCCCGAAATCAGATGAACGGCCTATTTGCAGGCATAGGATGGATTCTTTTGTGCCTCTATGAAGTTGGGACATAGAAGAAAATGCAAGGGATGAAACACCTTCATCATGTCCCATCTCATGCATCGCCCATCATCCTGAAGATCGGAAATGCTTTGTCTTTTCCGAACAAAACACTGAGGTAGTTTCTGACCACGGAGCCTATCTCTTCTCAGCCATGCGGCATCAATAATGAGAGAAGCAATGAGAAGCTCATTGCACCTCATGTTCCACCTACCTAAGCAAAATGCTGAAGCATGCGTTGAGTGATCGGGTGCTGGAAAGCTCCGGAATTGATCCGGACTCATCTCCGCTACGGCAGGCAGCTCCTTCGTCTGTGCTCTTTCATTGGCCTATCCCCAAAGCTCCACCCTTGCACGGAAGCGAAATGGTGGCCTCAGCCCGCAAGGTCCCCATGTGAATGCCTATATAAGGCCGACCTCCTCCTCCCCTTTGCTTGTTTTCCCTTCTTCTCTTCTTCATACTTACCTTCATGGGCGGTCTGGGGATCAAGAAATCCGGACCGCAGAGAGGGATGCCTGCATTGCACATCGCGGAGT